TGCATTTATTCACTCACCCGGCCCCGCCCTGCGGGTGCGCCCCAAAGCCGCCCCCATCGCCCCCCGGCTGAGACCCCTCCCCAGCCTCCCCGCACCCGCTTCATTTCAGCTCCAAACTCTTCATTTTCACGATTTTCCAAATTTTTTTTTAATATTTTCCATTTCTTTTGTCCTTTGTTTTTACAGTTAAGCCGCGGGGACCCCGTCCCTCCCCGCCCCACCCTTGGGCAGCCCCCCGACACCGGGGAAGGGGGCGTCACTGTCCCCCCACCCCACCCCGGGGCCGCCTCCCGCACCCCAAAACATCCAAATAAATAAATAAATCCCAGCGGGAAGAGGAGGGACACGATGTCACCCCTGTGCCCCCGGGCTGGATTAGGGGAGGGGGCGACTGGACCCCCCCTCCCCGCAGTTCCCGTGGGAATAGCAGCGTCCCCATCCCCCCACAGCTGGATCCAGCCCCCGGCGTGTCCTGGGGGGGGATCGGGGGGTGCTGGGGGGGCTGCGGGGGTCCCTAACTGTCCCCATCGCCCTCCTTCAGCTCCTGGCTGTTCTCCGCCTCCTCGGGAATATCCTGCATCCTCAGGAAATCTGCGGGAAAACTCCAGGTCAACCCTTCCCCAAAATAAAACCGGGACCCCAGGGTGGGATCTGCCCTCCCCACAAACAGGGACCCACCTCGGGGGCTGGCGGGGGGGGAGTGGCGGCCCCCCAGGCCCCCCTCATCCTCCAGGAGCACATCCAGGGTGTCCTCGGCCTCCCGCAGCCGCTCGGGGTCGCTTCCCCGGAATTCCAGCTCGTCCCGGGGAAGGAAAAAAAGAAAGCAAAAAAGGGGAAAGTGAGGAGGGAGGAAAGGAAAAAGAGGGAAAAGGAAAAACTGAAATAAAAGGGAAAAGTGAATAAAAGGAAAGTGGGAAAAGGGGGGAAAGAGAGGAAAAGGGGGAAAAGGGGGAAAGGAGGAAGAAAGGGGGGAAAAGGGGAAAATGGTAAAAAAGGGGGGGAAAAGGGCAAGAGGGAGCAGGGAGCAATGAGGAGAAAGAGGGGAATGGGAAGGGAACGAAGGGGGAGAAAGAGGATGGAATGGATTTGGGGGCAGGATGGGTCTGGGCAGGGGGACCCCCTCACCCCCGGGGGTACCCCCTCATCCCCTGGGGCACCCCCCCGTCCCTGGGAAAAAATGGGAGAAATAGGAAAAAAAGGTAAAAAAGTGGGAAAATGGGGGGAAAAAAGGTAAAAAAGGGGGAATAGGGCAAGGTGACGTCCCCTGGGGCACCCCCTCGTCCCCTCCTGTCCCCCTGTCCCACCTGCAGCCGCAGCAGGAGCCCGTAGAGGTTCACCAGGTGCTGGTTGATCTCCTGTGGGGGGCACGATTTGGGTTGGGGGGGGGATGTGACCCCGAGTGCCACACTGGGGGGGACACCCTGAGCCACCACGGGGGTCCCCAAACCCTTTCCTCACCTCCTGGGATCCCCTGGGCGGGACCTGGTTCCCATTCCCGTCCTGTGGAGAGAGGGGGGTGACACTGAGGGTCCCACGGCGGGGTGGGGGTCCCCAGCTGTGCCCCTCAGTGCCCCCTCCCCAGCTCACCCTCTGCCCGGCGTCCGGATCCGCCCGGAATTCCACGGAGCCGTTGATGCTGCCGGAGTCACCGTCTGCAGGGGGAGGCTGGCTGAGCCCCACGGGGGTCCCGGGGGTCGCCCCCAACCCAGAGACCCCTCCCCGTGTCCCCCCCTTACTGCTGGCGCTGGGGCTGGGGCAGCTCTCGGCCTCGGGGGGGTGGTTCTGGTTCTGGTTCTGGTCCCGGTCCCGGCTGCATCCCGTGAAAATCTCCTTCAGGCACTCCACTGTGGGGGATTCAGCGTCAGCCCCGCCCCTGCCTCAGTTTCCCCATCCTGGAGTGTCCCAGAGCATCCTGGGACATCCAGAAGTTTCCATCCCAACCCAGAACATCCTGGGGCATCCAGAAGTTTCCATCCCACCCTGGAGCATCCCCTCCCTACCTTGCATCACCTCTCTCATGTGCAGGACCCCTGCCTCAGTTTCCCCATCCTGGAGCGTCCCAGAGCATCCTGGGGTATCCAGAAGTTTCCATCCCACCCCAGAGCATCCAGAAGTCTCCATCCCACCCCAGAGCACCCCGGGGCACCCAGCAGTCTCCATCCCACCCCCGGTGGAGGCCCCAGCTCCCCTCTCCCCCGAGCGCCCGTACCTTCCCGGATGGCGTCGTGCAGCAGCAGGTCCCCGCGGGGGCCCCGGGCGGGGTCCCCGGGGAAGGGGGTCCCGCGGGGGGCCGCGGGGGGCTCGGAGCAGCCGCTGCCCAGCGCCAGCATGTCGGCAAAAATCCCCACCTTGTCCTCCAGCAGCGCCGCGATCTGGCGGTCGTGCTGCTCCATCCGCTCTGGGGGGCACAGCGGGAATGGGGTCAGCAAAGGGGGAGCGAGGGGGTGGGAACGATGGGATTGATGGGATGGGGTTAATGGGATCAATGGGATCAATGGGATCAATGGGATGGGTCAATGGGATCAATGGGATTGATGGGATGGGGTCAATGGGATCAATGGGATTGATGGGATGGGGTCAATGGGATCAATAGGGTGGGATCAATGGGGTGGGATCAATGGGATCAATCGGATGGGAACACTGGGGTGGGATCAATGGGATCAGTGGGATGGGGTCAATGGGATTGAGGGGATGGGAACAATGGGGTGGGATCAATGGGATCAATGGGATGGCATAGATAGGATGGGATCAATAGGATCAATGGGATGGGATGCACAGGATGGGATAGCAAGGGGGGAGCGAGGGGGTGGGAATGATGGGATTGATGGGATGGGGTTAATGGGATCAATGGGATCAATGGGATCAATGGGATGGGGTCAATGGGATCAATGGGATGAAGGGGATGGGATCAATGGGGTGGGATGGGATCAATGGGGTCAATGGGATTGATGGGATGGGGTCAATGGGATCAATGGGGTGAGATCAATGGGATTGAATGGGATGGGATCAGTGGGAGGGAATGGAATCAATGGGGTGGGGTGGGATCAGTGGGATGGGATGGGATCAGTGGAGTGGGATGGATGGGATTGATGGGATGGGATCAATGGGGTGGGATCAATGGGATCAGTGGGATTGATGGGGTGGGATCAATGGGATCAGTAGGGTGGGATCAATAGGGTGGGATCAATGGGATTGATGGGATGGGGTCAATGGGATCAATGGGATCAATTGCATGGGAACACTGGGGTGGGATCAATGGGATCAGTGGGATGGGGTCAATGGGATTGAGGGGATGGGATCAATGGGATGCACACGATGGGATGGGATGGGATGGGAAGCACAGGATGGGATGGGATGCACAGGACAGGATGCACAGGATGGGATGGGATCAATGGGATGGGATGGGACTGGATGCACAGGACGGGATGCACAGGATGGGATGCACAGGACGGGATGCACAGGACGGGATGCACAGGATGGGATGCACAGGACGGGACGAGCCCCCACCTTTCAGCTTCCTCAAGGACGCTTCCGTCTCCGTCTCGATCAGGGGGAAATCCTGGCGGCTGGGACAGCTGGCAGGGCCGGGATGGGGGGATCAGAACCAGGACCCCCAACCCACCACCCCACACCCCCCCGCTTTCCCCTCCACCCAATCACCCACCCTGCAACCGCAGACCCCCCAACAGTTCCCAGCCGTCCCGGGGGGGTCCCCAGGTGTCCCCAGGCCCCCGGGGACACTCACAGGCTGACGGCCTGCTGGATGACCTTCATCCAGTGGTTGCGGTCGTCCCGGGAGGCCGCGTGCACCTCGTACATCTCGGGCGGCGCGGCGCTGATCAGGAACATGCCCTTCTCCTGGTTGGCGATGTCCCTCACGATCAGGTTTTGCAGGGAGATGACGGCCGGCTTGTCCTGCGGGATTGGGGAGCGCTGCCAGCAGGGAACGCGGCCCCAGGGCCCCCCCGGGGGTCGGGGTGAGGAGGGGGCGGCTCAGCAGCGTGGGGAGGTGCAATTATTTATCTCACCAGAACAGGGAAAGTGTATTTATTTACCTCACCAGAATGGGGAAAGTGTATTTAGCTCAGGAGAACGGGGAAGGTGCATTTATTTATCTCACCAGGGTGGGGAAGGTGTATTTATTTAGTTCACCAGAACTGGGAAGTTGCATTTATTCACTCACCAGCATGGGGAAGGTGCATTTAGCTCAGCAGAAAGGAGAAGGTGCATTTATTCACTCACCAGCATGGGGAAGGTGTATTTCTGGTCCTTCTCTTGCAGGAACACCAGCACGTCCGTCATCAGCAGCACCAGCACGTCTGCGATGAGCCGGGGTGAGTGAGGGTGAACCCCGCTGAGCCCCCCCGTTTGGCTGACCCCAAATCCAGAGGGGCTCTGACCCCAAATCCAGAGAGGCTCTGACCCCAAATCCAGAGGGGCTCTGACCCCAAATCCAGAGAGGCTCTGCCAGCCTCCTCCTCCACAGCCATCCCCACCTGTCAGGTCCTTCCCCAGCCTCCCCACTCCCTGGAACACCCCCCAGTCCCACTTTTCCCCCCACGTCCCACCTTTGAAGCGCCCGGCCGCGGTTTTCCAGAGCATCCCCCCGCTGTGCACCAGCTTCCTGCGGAGCAGCTCGTCCCTGCCGAAGGCCCCGGGCCGGCTGTCCCAGAGCAGCGGCACCTTGGCGCGGGGATCCACGCGCCGGAAAACGTCCCAGAGGCGCCCGCGGAGCTCCCAGGCGTGAACCTCCTCGTCCACGGCCGACAGCAGCTCCTTCACCAGGCGCAGCGCCCGCGACAGGTCGGCGCAGTCCCCCTCGTTGTCTGCCGGCAGGGGAGGGGAGCTGGAATTCCTGGAATCCCTGCCCCCCGCCCCGCCCGGGGGGGTCCCTGCCCCTTCCCGACCCCGCCGCGGTACCTTTGGAATTCTTGAGGATGCGCTCGATGAGCACGGGGTACTTGGTGATGCGCTGCGTCACCAGCAGGATGCACTCGGGGACACCGTGGCGGCGCAGGAGGGGGGACCGTGTCACCCGCTGGGTCCTGGAATCCCTGTCAGCAGGGACCCCCGTCAGCAGGGACCCCCCTCCATCAGTGATACCCCTCCTTCAGGGACCCCCCTCCATCAGGGACCCCCCCTCCCCGCAAAGCAGAGACCCCCGGAGCTCAGTGAGGGAGGGACACAAGTCGGGGAAACTGAGGCACGGAGGTGGGAGAAGGGTTTTTCACTAGGATGTGCCGGGGGACCCCAACCCTCAGCCTGGGGGTCTCCCAGAGGATGGAGACCCCAACCCCCATCCCGGGGGTCCCCCAAAGGACAGAGACCCCCATCCCAGGAGTTCCCCAGATGATGGAGACCCCAACCCTCATCCCAGGGGTCCCCCAGAGGATGCAGACCCTGATCCTCAGCCCGGGGGTCCCATGGAGCACAGAGACCCCCGTCCCCCGCCCGGGGGTCCCGGGCCCACCCGGATGAACTGCTGGAAGCGCTTGTCCCGGGCCAGCAGGTCCTTGTACTCCTTGAGCGCCTTGGTGTGCTTGCTGCAGAACTCGGCGTAGGCTTTGCGCAGCTGCTCCGCGCTCGGGCCCGAGAACTGCACGGGGGACAGCGGGGACAGAGAGGGGACAGCGGGGACAGTGAGGGGACAGAGAGGGGACAGGGACAGCGGGGACAGTGGGGACAGTGAGGGGACATCAGGGACAGAGAGGTGACATTGGTGAGAGTGAGGGGATAGAGGGGACAGAGAGGGGACAGCAGGGACGAGAGGACAGCGGGGACAATGAGGGGACAGCAGGGAGAGCGAGGGGACATCAGGGACAGTGAGGGGACATTGGTGAGAGTGAGAGGACGTTTGTGACAGTGCAGAGAGGTGACATTGGTGAGAGTGAGGGGATAGAGGGGACAGAGAGGGGACAGCAGGGGCGAGAGGACAGCGGGGACAATGAGAGCGACGGGACATCAGTGAGGGGAAAGGGACAACAGGGAGAGCAAGGGGACATCAGTGACAGTGAAGGGACATCCATGACAGCGTCCCCCTGCCATCCCCACCCCGAAGCCGTCCCTCTCTCCCAGGTCCCCCGCAGTCCCACCCCCTGTCCCCCCAATCCTCTGCCCCGTGTCACTGTGACATTTTCTGGGAAGGTTCCCCTGGCCAGGATTTCCTGCCGGGAAGCTGCAGCTTCTCCCTCTCTGCTGCTCGGGGATGTGATTGGGAATTGTTCATCAACGCATGATCGGTTTGTGCTTAATGACCAATCAAGGTCCAGCAGTGTGGAGGCTCTGAGGAGTCACGGGTTTAATTGTTCATTCTTTTCTAGCCTTCTGATGTACCCTTTCCTCCACAGCTTAGTACAGTTCTAGTAGGTAACTTCATATCGTATAATATCATATAATTTCATATAATATAATTTTATATAATATGACATGATGATATAGTATAATTTCATGTAATTTCATATAATTTCATATAATATAATTTCACATAATATAGTATAATATCATATAATTTCTTATAATTTCATATGATATAATTTCATATAATATGGTATGATAATATAGTATAATTTCATATAGTATGTTATGATGATATAGTATAATTTTATATAATTTCATATCATAGGATATAATTTCATATACTATGATTTCATATATGATATGATACACCACCCCCATCCCCTGCTCCCCCTGCCCACCCCCATCCCCTGCTCCCCCTGCCCACCCCTCCCCGTGCCCACCTGGGTGACCAGGATGTCCCCGAGGCGCTCGATGACGAAGTTCTTGTTGCTGTCGCGGGCCAGCGAGGCGCGGCGCCGCTCCAGGAGCTGCGCCAGGAAGCGCTGGTGGATGTGGCTGAGCTCGTCGAGGCAGGGGAAGATGCGCTGCACGGTGCCCGGGTCCAGCTGCAGCTCCTCCAGCATGGCCCTGCGGAACAGGGCGCCCATGATCTTCAGCGTGCGCACGTGGTGCAGCTCCGTCTGCATCAGCTCTGCGGGGGCACGGCGCGTCACTCGGGGCGGGACGGGCCCGGGGACACGGACATGGCATGGGGACAGGGACACGGCTCGGGGACAGGGACACGGCCCGGGGACACGGACACGCACGGGGACAGGGACACGCACGGGGACACATCACAGGGACAGGGACACGGCACGGGGACAGGGACACAGCACGGGGACAGGGCATGGGGACACGGACACGGCACGGGGACAGGGACACAGCACGGGGACAGGGCATGGGGACACGGACACGGCACGGGGACAGGGACACGGCACGGGGACAGGGCATGGGGACACGGACATATCACAGGGACATGGCATGGGGACAGGGACAGACCACAGGGACAGGGACACGACACAGGGACAGGGACACACCATGGGGACAGGGACACGACACAGGGACATGGCATGGGGACACGGACACATCCAGGGGACAGGGACACATCCCCAGGGAGAGGGACACACCATGGGGACACACCATGGGGACAGGGACACCACAGGGGCAGGGACACATCACAGGGACACACCACAGGGACAGGGACATGCCACAGGGACACGCCCAGGATACAGGGACACAACCCAAGGGATAGGGACACACCCCTGGGGACAGGGACAGCCACCCAGCCTGGCCCTGTGTCCTCATGACTGCCTCCTGTCCCTGCACCCTCTGTCCTTCCCCATGTCCCCATCCCTGCATCCCATCCCTGTCCCCATGTCCCCATGTCCCCATGTCCCCATGTCCCCGTGTCCCCTGTCCCTGTGTTCCCATGTCCCCATGTCCCCATCCCTGCATCCCCATCCCTGTCCCCGTGTCCCCTGTCCCTGTCCCGTGTCCCCTGTCCCTGTCCCGTGTCCCCTGTCCCTGTCCCTTGTCCCCGTGTCCCTGCCCCTGTCCCCGTGTCCCCGTGTCCCTGCCCCTGTCCCTGTCCCTGTCCCGTGTCCCTGTCCCCTGTCCCCCTGTTCCCTGTCCGGGTCCCTGTCCCTGTCCGTGTCCCTGTCCGTGTCCCTGTCCGTGTCCCTGTCCGTGTCCCTGTCCGTGTCCCTGTCCGTGTCCCTGTCCGTGTCCCTGTCCGTGTCCCTGTCCGTGTCCCTGTCCGTGTCCCTGTCCGTGTCCCTGTCCGTGTCCCTGTCCGTGTCCCTGTCCGTGTCCCTGTCCGTGTCCCTGTCCGTGTCCCTGTCCGTGTCCCTGTCCGTGTCCCTGTCCGTGTCCCTGTCCGTGTCCCTGTCCGTGTCCCTGTCCGTGTCCCTGTCCGTGTCCCTGTCCGTGTCCCTGTCCGTGTCCCTGTCCGTGTCCCTGTCCGTGTCCCTGTCCCCTCACCGTAGATGACGTCCTGCCGCTTCATGACGTCCATGCGGTGCTGCTGCAGGAAGCTGTTATCCACCGCCAGGCTCCAGGAATCCGCCTCGAACTCCTTCCCGTCGGCCTCCAGGTCGCTCAGCAGCTGGCTCAGGATGACGTCAGGGCCTGCGGGTGACGGCAGCGGGACGTGGAGTCCCCGCGTGTCCCCCCCCGTGTCCCCAAGCCGCCCCCACGCGTCCCCACCTTCGTCGATCAGCGACTCCACCGAGAGCGTGCGGTTGCGCATGTTGAGGGAATCCGTGGACTGGGACAGGATCCGCCGGATTCCCAGCGGAGAGTCATCGTTGAACGTGCTGGGGGAGAGGGGTGGCACGCCATGGGGACGCTGGGGACACCCCCGGAGCCCCCTGTCGCCCTCCTTTCCCGCCCTTACCCCGAGATGTTGGTGGTGGAGACGCTCTTGGAGAGGGACAAGGAGGGGCGGCCGCGGCGGGGCCCCAGCAGCGTCTGCCGGAAGCTCTCCGAGGGGTAGATGGCAGAATTGGGGCGCTCCCGGATGGCATCTGGGGGGGCACGGCGGGGCGTGGGCGCTGGGACCCCCCTGGCACCCCCCGGGCTGGGCAGGGACACGGGGAAGGGGAGGGGAGGGGNGAAGGGAAGGGAAGGGAAGGGAAGGGAAGGGAAGGGAAGGGAAGGGAAGGGAAGGGAAGGAGCTCCCCCGCTCACTCTTGTTGCGCAGGGACACCGACTGCAGGGCTGAGCTGTTCTTCAGCAGCGCCGCCTTCTGCTGCTGCGGGGGAGCAGAAGCGTCACCGTCCCCGTCCCCGCGTCACTGTCCCCGCGTGTCCCCAGTGCCACATCCCCCCCGCTGCCCCTTCCCCACGCACCCCTCAGCCCGGCTCACCTTCTGCTTCACCTTGGTGCAGTTGGGCAGCGTGTCCTTGCAGCGGTTGTGGATGGTGACGTTGCAGGCTGGGGGACACCGAGAGGTGACCGAGAGGCCGCGGGGACCCTCTGCCACCCCTCCTCCCCCGGTGCCGGCAGAGCGACGGCGGCAGATGCGGTGGGGACGCGGGTGGGCGCGGGTCACCCGCGGCTGCAGCTGCCACCCAGCAGCTGCCCCACGCCCAGGGCACCGTGCCAGCCTGGGGCCAGCAGCGCCGGGGAGCTGCCATGTGCCAGGCTGGAGAAATGGAGAAACCACCTCCTGCTCCGGGCCACGAACCCGGCACGAACCGGGCTCTGGGAACGGCGCCCACGCAGCAAAGCCACCCCGGAAAAGTCGTCTTGGAAAAGGCACCGTGGGTACAGTCATCCTGGCAAGGCCACCCCGAAAAAAGCCGTCCCAAAAAAGCCGCTGCGGCAAACGCGCCGCGGCAAAGCCACCCCAGCAATCCCGCCCCAGCAGAGCCACCCCAAAAAAAGGCATCCCAAAAAAAGCCTCCCGAGAAAAGGCACTGCGGCAAAGCCACCCCGGCACAGGCGCCATGGCAAAGCCACCCCAGGAAAAGCCACCCTGGCAACTGCAAAAGTCACTGCGGCAATGCCAGCCTGGCCAGGAAATGTCGTCGTGGCAAAGCCACCACGAGAAAGCCACCCCGGAAAATCCTTCCTGGCAAAGCCACCCCATCAAAGCCACCCTGGCAAAGCCACTGCAGCAAAGCCAGCCTGGAAATGCCATCCTGGCAGGGCCACCCTGGCATTTCTGCCCTGGCAGAGCCAGCCTGGAGAAGCCATGCCATCCTATCGACCCTGCCAGCCTGGCAAAACCATGATGGAAAAACACCCCAGGAGAGGCACCCCAAAAAATCCACTGCGGCAAAGCCACCCTGGCAACTCTGCCCTGGAAAAGCCACCCTGGCAATGCCACCCCAGCCATGCCACCCTGGCAATTCTGCCCTGGAAATGTCATCCTGGCAAATTCACCCTGGCAAAGCCACTGCAGCAATGCCACCCTGGCAATTCTGTCCCTGGAAAAGCCACCCTGGCAAAGCCACCCCATCAAATCCACCTTGGCAAAGCCACCCCAGCCATGCCAACCTGGCAAAGCCACCCCATAAAATCCACCCTGGCAAAGCCACTGCAGCAAAGCCACCCTGGCAATTCTGCCCCCGGCAATGCCACCCTGTAAATGTCATCTTGGCAATCCCACCCTGGCAAAGCCACCCCAGCCATGCAACTGCAGCAATGCCACCCTGGCAATTCTGCCCCTGGCAACGCCACCCTAGCAATGCCACCCTGGAAATGTCACCCTGGCAATGCCACCCTATCAAATTCACCCTGGCAAAGCCACTGCAGCAAAGCCACCCTGGCAATTCTGCCCCTGGCAATGCCACCCCAGCAATGCCACCCTGGAAATGTCATCTTGGCAATGCCACCCTGGCAATGCCACCCCATCAATCCCACCCTGGCAAAGCCACCCCGGCCACCCCACCGCGTCACCCCCGCCCTGCCACATCCCCGTGCCAGCCCCCCCTGGCACTCACTGGGGCACACGAGCGCTTCCTTGGCCGTGATGCTCTTGTTGCAGGCGAAGCACATGGTCATGCCCGACACGGAGATGGTGGTGAACAGGTGCCCGTTGGTGTAGCGCGCGTCCTTCTCCTTGGCCTCCTTCATCCTCTCCTTGTCCTTGCCCTGCCCGGACAGCGGCACCGGGCGCCTGACGGGGCTGCCTGGGACCCCCTTGAGCACCTTTGGGACCCTCTTGAGCACTTTTGGGACCCCTTAGGCACCCCTGGGACCCCCTTGGGCACCTTTGGGACCCCTTGGGCAGCTTTGGGACCCCCCTGGGCACCTCTGGGACCCCCTTGAGCACCTTTGGGACCCCTTGGGCACCTTTGGTACCCCTTTGAGCACTTTTGGAACCCCCTTGGACACCCCTGGGACCCCCGTGGACACCTTTGGGACCCCTTTGAGCACCTCTGGGACCCCCTTGGGCACCTTTGGGACCCCATGGGCACCTTTGGGACCCCTTTGAGCACTTTTGGAACCCCCTTGGGCACCTCTGGGACCCCTTGGGCACCTCTGAGACCCCCTTGAACACTTTTGGGACCCCCTTGAGCACCTTTGGGACCTCCTTGGGCACTTCTAGGACCCCTTTGGTCACCTCTGGGGGCACCTTTGGTACCCCTTTGAGCACTTTTGGAACCCCCTTGGACACCCCTGGGACCCCCGTGGACACCTTTGGGACCCCTTTGAGCACCTCTGGGACCCCCTGGGCACCTCCGGGACCCCCACGGGCACCTTTGGGACCCCCACAGGCACCTTTGGGACCCCTTGGGACCCCCTTGGGCACCTCTGGGACCCCTTGGGCACCTCTGAGACCCCCCTGGCCACCTTTGAGACCCCCCTGGGCACCTTTGGGACCCCTCGGGCACCTCTGGGACCCCTTGGAGCAGCAGTGAGACCCCAGCGGGACCCCAGGCACGGGCCCCCCGTGTCCCCCCGTGTCCCCAGCCGCGGGGGTCTCACCCTCTCCGCCCTCGGGGGTCCCTCCGCCTCCCCATCGGCCGGGAACGGGGCGCAGGAGCAGCAGCACATCCCGGACCCCCCAGGCCGGGACCCCCGGGACCCCTCCCCGAGCCCGGCGGCGCCTCCGGCCGCGACATCGCCGCGACATCGCCGCGACATCGCCGCGCCCCGCGCCGGGTCCGCCCCTCGTTTGTTTTCCTTTGATTTCCCCCTCGCCCCGCCGGTTTTGTTTGTTTTTCTCCGCTTTTCCTCCGTTTTTTGTTCATTTCTTTTCTTTTCTTTTTTTCCTTCCTTCATTTTCCTGCCTTTCTTTTTCTGTCTTTTTTTTTGCTTTGATTTCCCTTTATTCTTTTCCCCCATTTTCCCCCTCTCCTCTCTTTCCCTTCACTTTCTTTCCTTTATTTTTCTCCTTTTCTTTCCTTTATTTTTCTCCTTTTCTTCCCTTTATTTTCCTGCTTTTCTTTCCTTTCTCTTTCTCCTTTTCTTCCCTTTCTCTTTCTGCTTTTCTTCCCTTTATCTTTCTGCTTTTCTTCCCTTTATTTTCTCCTTTTCTTCCCTTTATCTTTCTGCTTTTCTCCCCTTTTCCACCCCGATTTTCTTTCTGCTTTTCTTCCCTTCCCCCCGCCGATTTTCTTTCCTTCTTTATCTTCACGCCTTCCCCCTTTTTAACCGTTTTTTTCCTTTTTATCTTCATCTCCCTTTTTTACTTTATTTCCCTTTTTAACCGATTTTCCCCCTTTCCCCCTCTTTTTTTTCCCCCCCTGTTAATTCCCCTTTTTTACCCCTAACTCCCCTTTCCCCCCCCCCCCCCCCCCCCCCCCCCTCTTTTTTTTTTTTTTTTTTTTTTTTTTTTTTTTTTTTTAGGTGCAGAAAACTTGATGGCATGCTTGATTTGCATTTGTTTTAAAAAACACAAAAAAAACCCCAAAAAACCCAAATCCCCCCCCCCAAAAAACCCAGACCCCCGCGGGATGAGGGATGGGGTGACCCCTCCCGCCCCCCCAAATCGGAGCAGGGAGGGACGAGCCCCCCCCGAACCCCAAAACGGGCCGGGAAAGGGGGGTCCCCGCTCGGGGGGGCGGCGCTGCCCGGGACCCACCTTGGCTCGCTCGCTCCTGGCCCGGGACAGCGACTCGATCCGGGACATAATCCAGGGAGCGCTCCCGGTGCCTCCCGGGGCTCTCCCGGTTCCCGGCCCGGGCCCTCCCGGTCCCGCCCTCCCGGGGGCGGGTCGCGCCGCCCCCCGGCCTCGTGCTGCCCGCGGGGCCTTTGTTCGCGGGGAGACCCCGGGATGCGGCCGGGAGCACCGGGATCCCACCGGGACCTGACCGGGAACACCGGGATCCTGCCAGGAACACCGGGATCCGACCGGGATCCGGTCGGGAACCAGCCGGGAATCAGCCAGCAATCCCGGGATCCGACGGGGAAGCGGTCGGGAATCCCGGGAACACCGGGAACCGGCAGGGATCCCACCGGGAGCGGCGCCCCGGAGCCTCCCCGGCCCCGCATCCCCCTCCCGGAGCGGCTCCCGAGGGATCAGAGCCGGGATCAGCCCAGCCCCGGGCACGGAGCCGCAGCACCCGGGGAGCTGAATCCACATCCCGAGGGATCTGTGTCCCAGCACCCTCAGGGATCCGAATCCCAATATCCTGAAGGATTTGTCATCCAGCATCCCGAGGGATCTGTGCCGGGAACACCGGGAACCGGCAGGGATCCTGCCGGGATCGGCGCCCCGGAGCCTCCCCGGCCCCGCATCCCCCTCCCGGAGCGGCTCCCGAGGGATCAGAGCCGGGATCAGCCCAGCCCCGGGCACGGAGCCGCAGCACCCGGGGAGCTGAATCCACATCCCGAGGGGTCTCAGTTCCAGCATCCCGAGGGGTTTGTAATCAAACATCCCGAGGGAGCTGAATCCACATCCCGGGAGCTGAATCCACATCCCAAGGGATCTGTGTCCCAGCACCCTGAGGGATCCGAATCCCAATATCCTGAAGGATTTGTCATCCAGCATCCCGAGGGATCTGTAATCAAATCCAGAGGGATCTGTGTCCCTGCATCCTGAGGGATCTGAATCCAACATCCTGAGGGATTTGTGTCTCAGCATCCTGAGGAGTCTGAATCCAGCATCCCGAGGGATTTGTAATCCAGTATCCTGAGGGATTTGTAATCCAGCATCCCAAGGGATTGGTCCCCAGGTTCATCCTGGATCATCACCCTGCATCCTTTAGAATCAGTCCCTGGAATCACCTCAGATCATCCCCATCTTCCCTCGGGATCAGCCCCTGGAATCACCTGGGATCAGCCCCTGGAATCACCTCGGGATCAGTCCTGGAATCACCTCAGACCATTCCCAGATTCCCTCAGGATCAATCCTGGAATCACCTCGGGATCGATCCTGGAATCACCTCGGGATCAGCCCCTGGAATCACCTCAGGATCAATCCTGGAATCCCCCGGGATCAATCCTGGAATCACCCGGGATTAGCCCCTGGAATCACCTCAGACCATTCCCAGATTCCCAATATCCTGAAGGATTTGTCATCTCGGGATCAATCCCTGGAATCACCTCGGGATCGATCCTGGAATCCCCCGGGATCAGCCCCTGGAACCACCCGGGATCGCCCCTCGGAGCCCCCCCTGCTCCGGCCCCGGCAGCCCGGATGAGGCCCCGCTCCAGCCCTTCCTCTCCGTGCCTCAGTTTCCCCCTCACACACTCCCTGGAAAGCCCCGACCTTCGGGAGCAGCCCCTGGCACCCCAGCGCAGCTCCAGGACTGGAATCCTGAAGGAAGCAGCAAATCCCAAGGAATTCCAGCCCTCCCCGAGCCCTGCACGCCCCAAAACTCCTTTTTGGGGTGACACAATCCCTGCTCTGCTCCCTTTTGGGCCTTTTCTCTCCCAGCCGCAGCAAATCCAGGCTGGGCCTTCCCAGGACAGCTCCTCCATGGATGCTGCCGCCTCCCTGGGCACGGAAATTCGGGATAAAAGTGCAATTTTGGGGGGAAAACGTTGAAATGTTGCTTTTCCCCCATAAAGCAGCGGCTCGGGAGCGGCCCCGGCAGCGGGAGCCGCGCGGTTGAACATTAACTGCTCCGAGATAAGCCGGGATTTGCGGCATCAGCCCCGCTCCAAGGCTCAGATAACGCTCCCGGCTCCCGGCTGCGGCTTTTTGGGGACACCCAAGTCCCCAAGGGTCACCCGGGGGGGGCCGGGACAAGGCACCCCCCGCGGGTCCGGCGTGCAAGGAGTTAAATGTGCTTTTGTGCGGCGTGTCCCGGCGAGGGGACAGCGCGGGGACAGCGCGGGGACAGCAGCGCCGCGGGATTAATGAATAACCGGGGAAGGCAGCGGTGCCGGGGAGAGGCGGCGCCGCTCCCGCCTGCCTCAGTTTCCCCGAGGACAAACAGCGGCTGCGGGGCGGGAGCGGCGCCAGAAATCCCCGGGGAGAGGGAGGGAGGGAGGGAGGGAGGGACAGTCCCGGGAAAACATCTCTGGGATCCAGGAAAACACCCTGGGATCCAGGAAAAAATCCCTGGGTGCAGGAAAACCTCTCTGGGATGTGGAAAACATCCCCAGGATCCAGGAAAACATTCCTGGGATCCAGGAAACACCCCTGGGATCCAGGAAAACATCTCTGGGTGCAGGAAAATATCCCCAAGATTGAGGAAAACATCCCTGGGATTCAGGAAAACGTCCCTGGGTGCAGGGAGACATCTCTGGGATTCAGGAAAAGATTCCTGGGATCCAAGAGAAAAAAATCCTTGGGATGCAGGAAAACGTCCCTGGGTGCAGGGAGACATCTCTGGGTGCAGGAAAACATCCCTGGGATTCAGGAAAAGATTCCTGGGATTCAGGAAAACGTCCCTGGGTGCAGGGAGACATCTCTGGGTGCAGAAAAACACCCCTGGGATCCAGGAAAAGATCCCTGGGTGCAGGAAAACATCCCTGGGATCTAGGAAAAGATCCCTGGGATCCAGGGAAATATCTCTGGGATCCAGGAAAAGATTCCTGGGATCCAGGAGAAAAAAATCCTTGGGATGCAGGAAAACACCCCAAGGGAGCGGATCCAGGAAGCGCCGGGCCTGCTCCTGACTCATTCCCACCTCATTCCCACCTCATTCCCGACTCATTCCCGGCTCCTTGCCGGCCTGCCAAGGCCGGGTTTTAATTAAACTGCGGATTTTAATTAACTCCCGGTCACCAAAGCGGAACGAAAGCCTCGGGGGGCCCCGAGCGGGGCGGGGGGAGGCGGCGCTCGGGGTCCTCCAGTCCCCCCCATTCCCGAGCCTCGTCTCCTCCTCGCTTCTCCTCCCCCTCCCCGATTTGACCCCAAAACACCCAAAAAACACCCAAAAAGCACCGGGGGAACCCCGGGGGGGCCGGGGGGAGCCGTGGAAACGCCGGAGCCAGGGAAAAACGGGGGGGGTCGGGGCACGGAGACCCCCGGAGTCACCCCAGCACCGCCCACCGGGAGCGGGTCTGGGGGCTCTGCAGCCCCCCGGACCGGGCGGGGCCGTTCCCCCCCTAAAAGAGCCCCTCCCTGCAGAATTATTATTATTTTTTTTCCTGAAACAGCCGTTTCGGGAAGAATTTTTCTTGGTATCTCACTGTTCCCGCCGGGAGCGACCCCCTGGCCGCCCCCTCCCCACCCCGGCACGGAGCCGGAGCTCACCCCGACTCCCAGGCGCCTTTTCCCTCCAAAATCCCAAACAAACCATCAAAAAACCCCAATAAACTTCCCGAGGAAGGCCGGAGCTCGGGAGCCGCCGGGCGGTTCCGGACCCCGCGGCGCCTCCGGGCGGGATTTGGAGCCGGGGAGGGGGCGCGGGGCCCCCCCAGATGGGAACAGCTGGCGGCTGATCCGGCGGGAAGAGGAGGAGGAGGAGGAGGAGGAGGGCAGGGATTAACGGCTCCGCTCGGCGGCAAATCGGGGCCGCCCGGGGGGGCCCAGCGGGGTTTGTCCCCCCCCTCCCAAAACCGGGCTGGGGGACAAAGCCACCTCGGGCTGCCGTGTGCCCTCGTGCCTCAGTTTCCCCACCCGAAACGGGGGTTTGGAAAGCGGGGGATCCCCCCCACGAGGCACCAAAGCGCCTCGGACACAGGCGGGAGAGGGGAAACTGAGGCACGGCAGGGGGAGGGGCAGGAGGAGAACATTCCCGAGGGAGGGATGGCCGCAGGAGAGGCCGGGATGGGCGGGGGAGGGGGGGATCCGCTCGGGGTCCCTTCCCTGAGCACACCCCGCCTTTTCCTTTCTTTTGGATCCCAAAATCTGGCAAAGAGCGAGCGGCGGAGCCGGGCGGGAGCCGGGAAACTGAGGCACGGCAGAGCATCCCTGAGCCCATCCCGTTCTCCCGTTCTCCCGTTGTTCCCGTTATCCCGTTTTTCTGTTGTCCCGTTGTTCTGTTGTCCCGTTGTTCCCGTTCTCCCATTATCCCGTTGTTCCATTATCCCGCTTTTCCGTTCTCCCGTTCTTCCATTCTCCCGTTATTCCCGTTCTCCCGTTATTCCGTTCTCCCGTTATTCCGTTCTCCCGTTCCCCGGTTATCCCGTTATTCCCGTTCTCTCGTTGCTCCCGTTATGCCGTTATCCTGTTTTTCCGTTCTCCCGTTCTCCGGTTATCCCCTTTTTCCATTCTCCCGTTGTTCCCGTTCTCCCATTATTCCGTTGTTCCGTTCCCCGGTTATCCCGTTATCCCGTTCTCCCGTTCTCCCGTTGTCCCGCCGCGCTCCCGTTTTCCGGTACCTTTGTCTTGCCGGTCATCCTGCGGATGAAGCTGAGGGTCCTGTCCAGGGGGGTCCCTTCCCGGCCCGGGGGGGTCCCCGCCTCCCCCGCCAGCCGCTCGCGGCTCCCGGCGCTGCGGGAGGAGGATCCGGCCGGACAATCCCGCTCTGTCCCCGCCGGGAACGGGGAGGAGCGTGCGTGTCCCCTCCCCGCCGCCAGCACGGCCAGGGGTTCAGTCCTGTCCCCTCCCCTCCCCTCCCCTCTGTCCCCTCCCGGGGACAAACCCCCCTTGGAGGGGACAAATCCCCTCTTGGGGGGACAAATTCCCTTTGGGGGGGACAAATTCCCATATGGGGTGGGGGGACAAGCCACCCTCTGAGTTCAGTCACCCTCGAGGGGGTGACAAGATGCCCTCGGGTGGGGACAAATCCCCTTCAGAGCCACCTTTGGAGGGGGAAAAGCCCCGTCCTTGGTGGCGCGGCCATTCAGGGCAGCGTGTCCCCATCCCTGGCCCTGTCCCCATCCCTGTCCCCATCCCTGTCCCTGTCCCCATCCCTGTCCCCATCCCTGTCCCTGTCCCCATCCCTGTCCCCATCCCTGTCCCTGTC